GATCTAGGAATTTTCCCAGTTAGATGTTGTTTCCTAAATTTAAGACTTCCAACATTTGCCATTTTTCCCAACAATCTGGAATTTCACCAGACAGAGGATTTGATTCAATGTCAAGAATGGTCAAAGTTTCCAGTTTAGTTGAGCAATTACAAAGAATATTAGAAAGGGATCCTGAAAATAGATTCTTAGACAAAAATAAAATCATCAAATCTGAGGGTGCCTGTGGCAATGGACCTGTGAATAGGTTGGAACTCAAGTCAACAATCAAACTCCTCGGAAAATATGAAATCTTCCCAACTAGTTGGTTGTTGGAAAGGTTTAGATATTCAAATTGAGTCGAAAGGTTCCAAAACCAAGTGGGAATGACACCTGATATTTCAGCATGTGAGACATCTAAAAGAGACAAATTCTTTTGGAATTGTAGCCACTGAGGAAATTGCGGAACAAGATGGCAGTTACGCAATTCAATACTATCACAGTGAAAAGGAGGAATCCAACTTGGATTTGGTTTAAACGTTAACATGTTGTTAGATGCGAAAAATAATCTAATCTCGTGAGATCAGAAAAGTGCATTTCTGATATATTTCCTTCCAACATATTATTGCTAACGTCTAAATGTTCCAAATTCCCTAGTTGTCCTAAACTTTGAGGGAGAGTTGCATTCAATCGATTGTGTGAAACATCAAGAACTTTCAATGATGATAACTTCCCTATTGAGAATGGAATGGGACCAGAAATGGAGTTTCCAGAGAGGGAAAGGTATACCAAATTTTTAAATTGGCCAAGTTGGTCAGGTAAATGGCCAGAAAGTTGGTTAGATGCAATATTTAATGATTCTAATCGATCCAAACTACATCTAGACAAACTCTCTATGACTTCTGATACCTCTTGATCAATTCCATTATTTGACAAATCCATCTCTCTCAGATTGCAAAGACTTTCCAAACATTTGGGTTCTATAATTTCAAGCTGGTTATCTGAAAGATCAAGAAAAGTAAGAGAGCTCAAGTTTCCAGTGGCAATTGAAAAATTACCTTGCAGGCTGACACCACGAAGACCAAGGAATTGAAGTCGGTTTAAATTAGACAACCAGTTGAGTGTCGATGATGAAGAGAATGAATTGAAGCTAAGATCAAGAAATTTGAGAGAAGACATGTCTCGAAAACCATTGGGAATCACACCTTCAACTCCATTAGAGTTAAGATCAATGGACACAAGACTACGAAGACTGAATATCCATGTAGGTACCGAAGACAACGTGTTTCTGGAAAGATCAAGAACAGTAAGAGATGTGTAATTAACACTGATTGGAGATGGATTATTATTTAGAAAGCATCCTGACAAGTGTAACTCCACCAAAGAAGGAAGTTTGTGTGTTGCCTGCAGCCAATCAGTTGCTTTAGTAAGATTTGCATAACTCAAATCAAGATACAGCAAAGACGAAAGAACAGAAACCCATTGAAGAGTTTTAGCTTCAAATAGGCAATTGTGTCCAAGATCAAGATAATTCAATTTTGAGAGATTTCCAAGATTATGGGGAATTGGCGTTTGGAAATTTGCCGAAGAGAGGTTAAGGTATGTCAAACTCTTCAGCGAACCAATGAATTCGGGAATCGCCAGGCCTCCAAAGTCGTTGTTGCTTAAGTCTAGGAAACTGAGATGTTTCAACTCGATCAAAGAAGGATTTATTTCGCCTCCTAGCTTTGACCCAACATAAGCATCCCATTCAGCATCTGACGCATCCTCATAAGGACTACTAAGCCCCAAGTGCAGCATTTTGACATGGCCGGTCAAGTTTTTGCATAAAACACCAAGGCATTCACAGCAATCCTCACCTTCAACCCAAGAAGATAGCCTGTTTGATCGATCAATTAGGTGTTGCTTGAACTTCAAAAGAGCTTGCCTTTCACTTTCAATGCAAAGTACATTGGAATTCCCATCACAAAAGCTAATAATGGTGGCTGCGATGACAAGAAGAAATCCAAACAAGGAAATTGTAACCGCTCTCATGGTTGCATATTGATCATTGCTACCAACACCGAATATATAAAAATGAAAAATATTTTCCACCACATCAAGTGCTAGGAACTTACTTCCAAGACCTCCAATTTAAATTTCCAGCTTGAATTTTCCACAAAATCATAATATGTATGAATTAACTTCCCCAAGTGTAGAAGCAACATAAAAAGAATTTGACAAAGAAATCAAGTCAACCAAGCCTATGAAGTAAGTTTCACGACCAGCCAATTAACTCTTTAGGTCTTAGAAAAGAGAAAAAATGAAATAAAAAATGAAACATTTAGAACAGATAAAATTACATAAAATTTAGAGAAGTTAAGACTCTTTTTCCTTATTATTTTTTTCTATAGTTTTTTTTTCTTTTTGTTAAATCAAATTTTGCTATATATGTTTGGCTAAAATTAAGCAAATTGTTGAAAAAGAATATTAATTTAAATACAACACTGATTTTATACAAAATTGAAGTTATAATACTTTATGTATGTGATTAAACGTTTAATTTTGTAAAATTTTAATTTATATTTAGTAATTAACACTTATTATTATTTTTCATTAATTTTTAATATAACTTTAATCACCATTTATTAGTATGATTTTTTCAACTAAATCGTAAACACGTAAATGATAATGATAAATGCATTGAAAAGTAACGAACACAGAACATAAATAGATCAGCTGATCTACCTCGTAAAAAAGAAAGCTTGCTACCAACACCGAATATATAAAGTTAAAAGAAAAATATTTTCCACCACATCAAGTGCTAGGAAGTTTCTTCCAAGACCTCCAAATTCTCAGCTTGAATTTTTCACAAAAAAAAAAAAAAATCATATGTATGTTTAAAATTCAACGAAGTGCAGAAAGAAGAACAAAAAAGGGCAAGTCAAGTCAACCAAATTTACGGAGTAAGTCCCATGCCTAGCTAATTAAAACTTCTTAGATCTTAGAAAAGAGAAAAAAAAAATTGAAAAGTTTAGAAAAAAAACTACATAAAATTTAGAGAAGTTAAGAATCTTTTTACTTATTATTTTTTCTCTAGTTTTTTTTTTTTTGTTAAATGAAATTTTGCTATATATATTTGGTTAAAATTAAGCAAAATTATTAAAAAAATATTAATTCAAATATTATTCGTGATCTTATATGGAAATGAAGTTTTAGTACTTTATGTACGTAATTTATGACAGGTAAAACTTTAGTTATTTATGACAGGTAAAACTTTAATTTTGTAAATTTTCCCTTAGTTTACACAATTATTTTCTAAATGACTAATGATTTTAAAGGGTACTGGAGGATTTGGGACAGAGATCACTTGGGAAGATCAACAGAACATTAAGAAATTTGGAAGATTAAACAATCGATTTCATGAGCTTGATGATGAAATCAAGATTGCTAAGGCTTGATTTTGGTTTGGGTTTCCTTTAGTTTCTGTTCATATCTATTTTTCCTTCTGGTTTTGGACTTTGAGAAATTTTTTTTTTCTCTTTTGACCTTCTAACATTATTTTGAAGGTGGGTTTTAGAACGAGAGAAAAACCAGTTTCAGTATATGTGTTTGCGAATTTCAAATTTAAACCTTGAACTTCTTAAATATTATTTTTTAAAATAAATCACTTAAATTAAATTTTGGATTTAAATGATTATTGAATTTTTATTTAAGATTTTTTTTATAATGTTATCTATATATATACAAATATACACATGCATGAGTCTATTTTTTAACAATGTTTTTTTGGATTTTCCTTTAAAATTTTCAGATAATTGTAATGTTCTTCCACACTTGAATATCGAATTAGACTTTAAGAAGATGACTATTCATTGAATCTTGGCCTTGTAAAGTGCAAAAACAGTTTAATTGGGATATTTGACGACTTTGGTTGTTTGTCGCGACAAAGAAGGAAAGTGGAATCTTTAATACTTTTCCCACCAACAAAACAATAATTCAAAGTTCAACACATCGAGTGCTAGGAAGTTTCTTCCAAGACCTCCAATTTTTCAACTTGGAATAGCATTTATATGTATATTTAAAATTGAACAAAGTGTAGAAAAAAAAAAAAAAAAAAACCAAGTCAAGTCAACTAAAGAGAGAAAAAATTGAAAACTTTAGAAAAATTAAAATTACATAAAATTTAAAGAAGTTAAAGTGATGTTTGTTTTTAGAAAATAGAATCATTTTCATTTATATTTTTTGAAAAAAAAAATATAAGTGAAAATGTGTTTGGTAATTAAAAATAAAAATAAAAATAAGTTGAAATATGATAAAAATATATATATTTAATTGTAAAAATAAAGCATATATATTTTTTGTATTTTACAAATTATCATATTTGATATTTTTTTTAATATCATTAATTAACAAATATATGTTATATTTATAATTAGAGGTAACACCGAATATATAAAGTTAAAAGGAAAACGTTTTCCACCACATCAAGCGCTAGGAAGTTTCTTCCAAGACCTCCAAGTTTTCAGCTTGAATTTTTCATAAAAAGCATTGAAATTCCACAAAGCGCGTAGAAAGAAGAAACAAAAAAAGACTCCTTAAGGTCTATGGAGTATGGTAATCACGGCCAAACTAATTAAGACTTCTTAAGTCTTAGAAAGTGAAAAAATCTTGAAAATTTTTGAAAAATAAAATTAGAGAAGTTAAGATTATTTTAATTTTTTAGAAACAAAAAATATGAGTAAAATCTTGATAATTGAAAATGAAAACAAATTTTTTTTTTTTTTAAGTTTGAAATATGAAAACAACAAATTTTTTGCAAGTTTGTATACAAATGTAAACTCTAAAATTATTTTTATAATGAACCCAAATTTAAATTAATCGGTTTTAAATATCGATATATATTTGATTAATAATTATTTGATAATACATAAAATAATTCAAAATTACGTCCATGGATTTAAAATAATGACAATTTTGCGTAATGTGAAATGCATTAACATTAAAACCAATAAAAAAAAGGACCATTAAAAAGAGAATCATTCCTATTATAGTCAAAACATGCTTTTGTTGGGAACTAACAAAAAAAAAAAAAGTCTACGAGTGATATATATTAAGACAAACTCTATCTCATTTCCATAAATTATAACATGGAATACCATTTCCATATGCGAATGCCTGGATCAAGTAAAGAGCATGCAAATCAAGTTATTCATTACTAAACACACTGTAATGAGCTTCCAGTACAAGTTACATACTATTAAGTATCCAGTACAAATTACATACCAATAGTAGCCCAAAACACGTATAGCTTATCACCAATATGATCCAGTTTTTTATAATAAGCAAACCTCCAAGACCTGATGAAAAACAGGGGAGCCACTACTCCCCAGAACCCCATCACAAATCCAGCCACCATGCTCACATAAAGCCAATTCACCTTAGACCTGTGCCTTCCTTCACTGCTACCACCATTTGTAACATCAGGTGTTTCGCCATCGCTGCTGCAATTTTTAGTGATTGGAGGTCCGCAAAGAAGATTGCCAATGTAAGAAAACTTGTCAAAGCTTTGGAGCTGGGTGCCTAATGGGATTTTTCCTGTCAAGTTGTTATATGACACGTTGAAGTGATTCAAAAAATTCAAATTGGAGAAACTTGAAGGGATTTCACCATGGAGTCGGTTCGTCGACAAGTCAAGAGATTCCAACACCTCCAGATTGCCAATGTTCTCTGGAATCTGTCCTGTTAGGAGATTTCCTGACAAATTTAACGACCGCAGCTCCTTGAGATTACCAAGTTCTTTGGGGATCTCTCCTGTGAGACTGTTAACTGAAAGGTCTATGCCGGTAACAAGTCTTAGTGTGGTACTATATTCATCCTCTCTTCCTCTCATCACCAATAATGCACCTAAATAAAAAATGTTGCCAGGGCCGACTGCCACGCCAAATCCAGCCAAGAATCCGTAGTGGCGTATTGTGGCCATGGCACTTAGGTTACAAAAACATTTTGGAATAGCTCCTGAAATGTTATTATAACCAAGATCCAAGAACTGAAGAGAATTAAGAGCACAAATTTGATCAGGAATATAGGCTTGGAATTTATTTGAACGAAGGTTTAGAACCACAAGGCTTAAAAGCTTGTCTCCAATCCATGCTGGAATACTACCCGTCAATTGATTTTCACTAAGATCAAGAATAAGCAAATTAGCTAAATGCTGCAATATGGATGGTACTTCTCCAAACAGGTTATTTTTACGAAGATTTAATGAGATAATATTCCGCAAAGATCCCAAGGATCTAGGCATTTTCCCAGTTAGACTGTTGTTTCCTAAATTTAAGACTTCCAACATTCGCTGATTTTCCCAACAATCTGGAATTTCACCTGACAGAAGATTTGATTCAATGTCAAGAAAGCCCAAAGCTTCCGGTTTAGTTGAGGAATTACAAAGAAAATTAGAAAGGGATCCTGAAAATAGATTCTTAGACAAAAATAAAAAATTCAAATCTGAGGATGCCCGTGGCAATGGACCTGTGAACAGGTTGTAACTCAAGTCAGTAACATAACTCCCAGGTAAATATGAAATCTCCCCAACTAGTTGGTTATGGGAAAGGTTTAGATATTCAAATGACGTTGAGAGGTTCCAAAACCAAGTGGGAATGACACCTGAAATTCCAGTATGGGAGATATCTAACCACCACATGTTCCTTTGGCACTGTAGCCACTGAGGAAATTGCGGACCAAGACGCCAGTTACCCAATCCAATACTTTTCCATTGAAAAGGAGGAATCCAACTTGGGTTTGGTTTAAACGTTAACATGTTGTTAGATGCCCTAAAAACTGTCAATCTCAAGAGATTAGAAAAGAACATTTCTGATATATTTCCTTCCAGCATATTATTGCTGACGTCTAAATGTTCCAAATTCCCAAGTTGTCCTAAACTTTGAGGAAGAGTTGCATTCAATCGATTTTTTGCAACATAAAGAAATTTCAATGATGACAACTTCCCGATTGAGAATGGAATGGGACCAGAAATAGAGTTTCCAGAAAGGGAAAGGTATGCTAAATTTTTAAATTGGCCAAGTTGATCAGGTAAATGGCCAGAAAGTTTGTTAGATGCAATATTTAATGACTCTAATCCATCCAAACAACATCTAGACAAACTCTCTATGATTTCTGATACCTCTTGATCAATTCCATTACGTGAAACATCAAGATGAGTAAGAGAGCTCAAGTTTCCAATAGCACTTGAAAAATTACCTTTTAGGCCGACATAAACAAGACCAAGGAATTGAAGTTGGTTTAAATTAGACAACCAGCTGAGTGTCGATGATGGAGAGAATGAATTCCAACTAAGATCAAGAAATTTGAGAGAAGACATGTTCTGAAAACCATTGGGAATCACACCTTCAACTGCATTAGAGTTAAGATCGATGGACACAAGACTACGAAGACTGAATATCCATGTAGGTATCGAAGACAACATGTTTGAAGAAAGATCAAGAACGGCAAGAGATGTGTAGTTAACAGTGATTGAAGATGGATCATTATTATTTAAATAGCAATCTGACAAGTGTAACTCCACCAAAGAAGGAAGTTTGTTTGTTACCTGCAGCCAATCAGTTGCTGTACTAAGATCTACATCGCTCAAATCAAGATACTGCAGAGACGAAAGACCAGAAACCCATTGAAGAGTTTTAGCTTCAAAAAAGGAATTGTGTCCAAGATCAAGATAATGTAATTTTGAGAGATTTCCAAGATTATAGGGAATTGCTGTTTGGAAATTTGTCGAAGAGAGGTTAAGGTATGTCAAACTCTTCAGCGAACCAATGAATTCGGGAATCGCCAGGCCTCCAAAGTCGTTGTTGCTTAAGTCTAGGAAACTGAGATGTTTCAACTCGATTAAAGAAGGATTGATTTCGCCTCCTAGCTTTGACCCAACATAAGCATCCCATTCAGCATATGACGCATCCTCATAAGGACTACTAAGCCCCAAGTGCAGCATTTTGACATGGCCGGTCAAGTTATTGCATAAAACACCAAGGCATTCACAGCAATCCTCACCTTCAACCCAAGAAGATAGCCTGTTTGATCGATCAATTAGGTGTTGCTTGAACTTCAAAAGAGCTTGCCTTTCACTTTCAATGCAAAGTACATTGGAATTCCCATCACAAAAGCTAATAATGGTGGCTGCGATGACAAGAAGAAATCCAAACAAGGAAATTGTAACCGCTCTCATGGTTGCATATTGATCATTGCTACCAACACCGAATATATAAAAATGAAAAATATTTTCCACCACATCAAGTGCTAGGAACTTTCTTCCAAGACCTCCAATTTTAAATTTCCAGCTTGAATTTTCCACAAAATCATAATATGTATGAATTAACTTCCCCAAGTGTAGAAGCAACATAAAAAGAATTTGACAAAGAAATCAAGTCAACCAAGCCTATGAAGTAAGTTTCACGACCAGCCAATTAACTCTTTAGGTCTTAGAAAAGAGAAAAAATGAAATAAAAAATGAAACATTTAGAACAGATAAAATTACATAAAATTTAGAGAAGTTAAGACTCTTTTTCCTTATTATTTTTTTCTATAGTTTTTTTTTCTTTTTGTTAAATCAAATTTTGCTATATATGTTTGGCTAAAATTAAGCAAATTGTTGAAAAAGAATATTAATTTAAATACAACACTGATTTTATACAAAATTGAAGTTATAATACTTTATATATGTGATTTTAAACGTTTAATTTTGTAAAATTTTAATTTATCTTTAGTAATTAACACAATATTATTATTTTTCATTAATTTTTAATATAACTTTAATCACCATTTATTAGCATGTTTTTTTCAACTAAATCTCAAACACGTAAATGATAATGATAAATGCATTGAAAAGTAACGAACATGGAACATAAATAGATCAGCTGATCTACCTCGTGAAAAAGAGAGCTTGCTACCAACACCGAACATATAAAGTTAAAAGAAAAATATTTTCCACCACATCAAGTGCTAGGAAGTTTCTTCAAAGACCTCCAAATTCTCAGCTTGAATTTTTCACAAAAAAAAAAAAATTCATATGTATGTTTAAAATTCAACGAAGTGCAGAAAGAAGAACAAAAAAGGGCAAGTCAAGTCAACCAAATTTACGGAGGAAGTCCCATGGCTAGCTAATTAAAACTTCTTAGATCTTAGAAAAGAGAAAAAAAATTGAAAAGTTCAGAAAAAAAATTACATAAAATTTAGAGAAGTTAAGAATCTTTTTACTTATTATTTTTTCTCTAGTTTTTTTTTTTTTTGTTAAATGAAATTTTGCTATATATATTTGGTTAAAATTAAGCAAAATTATTTAAAAAATATTAATTCAAATATTATTCGTGATCTTATATGGAAATGAAGTTTTAGTACTTTATGTACGTAATTTATGACAGGTAAAACTTTAATTATTTATGACAGGTAAAACTTTAATTTGGTAAATATTCCCTTAGTTTACACAATTATTTTCTAAATGACTAATGATTTTGAAGGGTACTGGAGGATTTGGGACAGAGGTCACTTGGGAAGATCTTTGGAAGATTAAACAATCGATTTCATGCGCTTGATGATGAAATCAAGATTGCTAAGGCTTGATTTCGGTTTGGGTTTCCTTTAGTTTCTGTTCATATCTATTTTTCCTTCTGGTTTTGGACTTTGAGAATTTTTTTTTTCTCTTTTGACCTTCTAACATTATTTTTAAGGTGGGTTTTAGAACGAGAGAAAAACCAGTTTCAGTATATGTGTTTGTGAATTTCAAATTTAAACCTTGAACTTCTTAAATATTATTTTTTAAAATAAATCACTTGAATTAAATTTTGGATTCAAATGATTATTGAATTTTTATTTAAGATTTTTTTATAATTTTATCTATATATATATATAAATATACGCATGCATGAATCTATTTTTCAACAGTGTTTTTTTGGATTTTCTTTTAAAATTTTCAGACAATTTGTAATGTTCTTCCATACTTGAACATCGAATTGGACTTTAAGAAGATGACTATTCATTGAATCTTGGCCTTGTAAAGTGCAAAAACAGTTTAGTTGGGATATTTGACGACTTTGGTTGTTTGTTGGGACAAAGAAGGAAAGTGGAATCTTTAATACTTTTCCCACCAACCAAACAATAATTCAAAGTTTCAACACATCAAGTGCTAGGAAGTTTCTTCCAAGACCTCCAATTTTTCAACTTGGTATAGCATTTATATGTATATTTAAAATTGAACAAAGTGTAGAAAAAAATAGAAAAACCAAGTCAAGTCAACCAAATTTGTGGAGTAAGTCCCACGGCCAACTAAAGAGAGAAAAAATTGAAAAGTTTAGAAAAATTAAAATTACATAAAATTTAAAGAAGTTAAAGTGATGTTTGTTTTTAGAAAATAGAATCATTTTCATTTATATTTTTTGAAAATAAAAATATAAGTGAAAAGGTGTTTGGTAATTAAAAATAAAAATAAAAATAAATATTTTTAATTGTAAAAATAAAGAATATATATTTTTTGTATTTTACAAATTATCATATTTGATATTTTTATTAATATCATTAATTAACAAATATATGTTATATTTATAATTAGATGAAACACCGAATATATAAAGTTAAAAGGAAAACATTTTCCACCACATCAAGCGCTAGGAAGTTTCTTCCAAGACCTCCAAGTTTTCAGCTTGAATTTTTCATAAAAAGCATTTATATGTATATTTAAAATTCCACAAAGCGTAGAAAGAAGAACAAAAAAGACTCCTTAAGTCTATGGAGTACTATGGAGTAAATTTCACGGCCAACTAATTAAGACTTCTTAAGTCTTAGAAAAGAGAAAAAATCTTGAAAATTTTTGAAAAATAAAATTAGAGAAGTTAAGATTATTTTTAATTTTTTAGAAAACAAAAAATATGAGTAAAATCTTGATAATTGAAAATGAAAACAAAGTTTTTTTTTTTTTTTTAAGTTGAAATATGAAAACAACAAATTTTTTTGCAAGTTGTATACAAATGTAGACTCTAAAATTATTTTTATAATGAACCCAAAATTTAAATTAATCGGTTAAAATATCGATATATATTTGATTAACAATTATTTGATAATAACATAAATATTCAAAATTACGTCCATGGATTTAAAATAATGACATTTTGCGTAATGTGAAATGCATTAACATTAAACCAGTGAGAAAAAGGACCATAAAAAAGAGAACCATTCCTATTAATAGTCAAAACATGTTTTTGTTGGGAACCGACAAAAAAAAACTCTACGAGTGATATATATTAAGACACAACTCTATTTCATTTCAATAAATTATTACATGAAATACCATTTCCATATCCGAATACCTGGATCAACTAAAGAGCATGTAAAACAAGTTATTCAGTACTAAACACACTTTAATAAGCTTCCACTACATATTACATACCAATAGTAGCCCAAAACACATATAGCTTATCACCAATATGCTCCAGTTTTTTATAATAAGCAAACCTCCAAGACCTGATGAAAAACAGGGGAGCCACTACTCCCCAAAAACCCATCACAAATCCAACCACTATGCTCACATAAAGCCAATTCACCTCAGTCCTGTGCCTTCCTTCACTGCTACCTCCATTTATAACATCAGGTGTTTCGCCATTTCTGCTGCAATTTTTAGTGATTGGAGGTCCGCAAAGATGATTGCCAATGTAAGAAAACTTGTCAAAGCTTTGGAGCTGGGTGCCTGATGGGATTTTTCCTGCCAAGTTGTTATATGACACGTTGAAGTGATTCAAAAAATTCAAATTGGAAAAACTTGAAGGGATTTCACCATGGAGTCGGTTCATCGACAAGTCAAGGGATTCCAACACCTCCAGATTGCCAATGTTTTCCGGAATCTGTCCTGTTAGGAGATTTCCTGACAAATTTAACGACCGCAGCTCGGTGAGATTACCAAGTTCTTTGGGGATCTCTCCTGTGAGACTGTTAACTGAAAGGTCTATGCCGGTAACAAGTCCTAGTGTGGTACTATATTCATCCTCCCTTCCTCTTATCACCAATAATGCACCTAAATAAAACCAGTTGTTAGGGTCGAATTCCAAGCCCAATCCATACAAGATTCCGTTGATGGGTTTTGTGGCCATGGCACTTAGGTTACTAAAACATTTTGGAATAGCTCCTGAAATGTTGTTATAACCAAGATCCAAGAACTGAAGAGAATTAAGAGCACAAATTTGATCAGGAATATAGGCTTGGAATTTATTTGAACGAAGGTTTAGAACCACAAGGCTTAAAAGCTTGTCTCCAATCCATGCTGGAATACTTCCCGTCAATTGATTTTCACTAAGATCAAGAATAAACAAATTAGCTAAATGCTGCAATATGGATGGTACTTCTCCAAACAGGTTATTGTTACGAAGGTTTAATGACTCAATACCACCTACAGATCCCAAGGATCTAGGAATTTTCCCAGTTAGACTGTTGTTTCCTAAATTTAAGACTTCCAACATTTGCTGATTTTCCCAACAATCTGGAATTTCACCTGACAGAAGATTTGATTCAATGTCAAGAATGGTCAAAGTTTCCAGTTTAGTTGAGGAATTACACAGAATATTAGAAAGGGATCCTGAAAATAGATTCTGAGACAAAAATAAAAACTTCAAATTTGAAATTGGTCGTGGCAATGGACCTGTGAATAGGTTGTAACTCAAGTCAACGCACAAACTCATCGATAAATATGAAATCTCCCCGACTAGTTGGTTATGGGAAAGGTTTAGATATTCAAATGATGTTGAGAGGTTCCAAAACCAAGTGGGAATGACACCTGAAATTCCAGTATGGGAGATATCTAACCGCGACATGTTCCTTTGGAACTGTAGCCACTGAGGAAATTGCGGACCAAGACGCCAGTACCTAATCCAATACTTTTCCATTGAAAAGGAGGAATCCAACTTGGGTTTGGTTTAAACGTTAAAATGTTGTTAGATGCCCAAAAAACTGTCAATCTCAAGAGATTAGAAAAGAACATTTCTGATATATTTCCTTCCAACATATTATTGCTAACGTCTAAATGTTTCAAATTCCCAAGTTGTCCTAAACTTTGAGGGAGAGTCGCGTTCAATCGATTGTGTGAAACATCAAGAACTTTCAATGATAATAACTTCCCTATTGAGATTGGAATGTGACCAGAAATGGAGTTTCCAGAAAGGGAAAGGTATGCCAAATTTTTAAATTGGCCAAGTTGATCAGGTAAATGGCCAGAAAGTTTGTTAAATGCAATATTCAATGACTCTAATCGATCCAAACTACATCTAGACAAACTCTCTATGATTTCTGATACCTTATGATCAATTCCATTTTGTGACAAATCCATCTCTCTCAGATTGCAAAGATTTTCCAACCATTTGGGTTCTATAATTTCAAGTTGGTTATATGAAACATCAAGATGAGTAAGAGAGCTCAAGTTTCCAATAGCACTTGGAAAATTACCTTTCAGGCCGACGTTAACAAGACCAAGGAATTGAAGTTGGTTTAAATTAGACAACCAGCTGAGTGTCGATGATGAAGAGAATGAATTCCAACTAAGATCAAGAAATTTGAGAGAAGACATGTTTTGAAAACCATCGGGAATCACACCTTCAACTCCGATAGAGTTAAGATCAATGGACACAAGACTACGAAGGCTGAATATCCATGTAGGTACCGAAGACAACGTGTTTCTAGAAAGATCAAGAACAGTAAGGGATGTGTAATTAACACTGATTGGAGATGGATCATTATTTAGAGAGCATCCTGACAAATGCAACTCCACCAAAGAAGGAAGTTTGTTTGTTGCCTGCAGCCAATCAGTTGCTTTAGTAAGATTTGTATAACTCAAATCAAGATACAGCAGAGACGAAAGACCAGAAACCCATTGAAGAGTTGTATCTTCAAAAAAGGAATTGTATCCAAGATCAAGATAATGTAATTTTGAGAGATTTCCAAGATTATGGGGAATTGCTCTGCTGAAATTTGAAAAAGAGAGGTTAAGATATAGCAAACTCTTCATCGAACCAATGAATTCAGGAATTGCCAGGCCACTAAAGTCGTTGTTGCTGAAGTCTAGGAAACTGAGATGTTTCATCTCCATCAAAGAAGGATTTATTTGGCCTCCTAGCTTTGATCGGAGATAAGCATCCCATTCAGCAACTGACACACCCTCATAAGGACTACTAAGCCCCAAGTGCAGCTCGTTGACATGGCCAGTGAAGTTATTACAGAAAACACCAACCCATTCACAGCAATCCTCACCTTCAACCCAAGAAGATAGCCTGTTTGATCGATTCAATTAGGTGTTGCTTGAACTCAAAAAGAACTATGCTCTCACTTTCAATGCAAAGAATTGGAATTCCCATCACAAAGCTAATAAACTGGCTGCGATGACAAAGAAGAAATCCAAAAAAGGAAATGTGTAACCGCTCTCATGGTTGCATACCGATCATTGCTACCAAACACCGAATATATAACGTTTAAAAAAAAATATTTTCTACCACAGATCAAGTGCTAGGAAGTTTCTTCAAGACTTTCAATTTTTCAGCTTTAATTTTCCACAAAAAGGCATTCATTTCTATGTTTAAAAATTCCACTAGTGTAGAAAGAAGAAAAAAGGACAAGTCAAGTAAGCCAACTCTATGGAGCTTAGAATACTTTTAATACTTATTAATTTTTACTCTAAGTTAGTTTCTTTTATTTTTTAGGTTAATCAAATTTGCTATATATGTTTGGTTAAAATTAAGCAAATTGTTGAAAAAATAAAATTACGTAAAAATTTTAAAAATTTAAGATATATTTGGTTTAAAAAAATAGAATTATTTTTATTTTGTTTTTTTGAAAATAAAAAATATGAGTGAAATGTATTTAATAATTGAAAATGAAAATAAATTTTTTTAAAAAATAGATAAAAATATGAAAATATTTTAATCTTGTTTTTAATTGTGAAAAACAAATATTTACATTATTTTTTTTGTATTTTACAATTATATGTTAATTTTTTTTTTAATGTTATAATTAATAGATATATATTATATTTATAATTAGGTGCAACACCAAATATATATAAGTTAAAAGAAAAAAATTTTCCACCACATATCACAAATCCTAGGAAGTTTCTTCCAAGACCTTCAATTTTTAAACTTGAATTTTCTACAAAAGGCATTAATATGTATGTTTAAAATTCCACAAAGTGTAGGAAAAAGAACAAAAAGGGACAATCTAGTCAATCAAATGGAGTAAGTCCCACGGCCACGTAATTAAGACTCTTTAAATCTTAGAAAAGAGAAAAAAGAAAAGAAAAATTTAGAAAATTAAAAATTACATAAAATTTGGAGAAGTTTAGACTCTTTTTGCATATTATTTTTTGTTAAATCAAATTTTGTTATATATGTTTGATTAAAATTAAGCAAATTGTTGAAAAAGAATATTAATTCAAACATAATTTGTGGTCTTATATAAATACAAAATTATAGTACTTTATGTATGTGATCTATGAAAGGTAAAACTTTAATTTTGCAAATTTTCTTGTAGTTTACACAATTATTTTTTTTGTTAATTTTTATATAATTTTAATCACAGATTATTAGTATGACTTTCGTTTAAATCTTAGACATATGAATGATAATGATAAATACATTAAAAAATAATGATAAATTTACAAATATATATATATATATACACACGTTATAAGAAAGCCAAAACAAATTTTAAAATATCTCTGATGATATTATAAAGAAAAACTTTTTTTATCTTTATTTGTAGTATATATTATAATTTTTATTGATAATAAACATTTAAAGATCAAGATGGGTAAGTGAATTGAATTACTCATATTATGTCGTTGCATGATAAATATTTTAATTATATTGTCAATAAGACGTTTTAACCATGAAAATTTAATATTTTAATTTGAAATTTTCGATTCAAATGCTAAATTAAAAGGATCGAATTTATGAAAAAAATTATTTTTTATTATGTAATCTAAAATCACATATATCCAAAAACGATTTAGCTTGTTGAAATAGTTAGGTAAATACCTCCTCCGTTAATAAAAGAAAATTGATACTACGGTTGGAAATTTTTACAAAGAAATATGTTGCATGTAAATATCATTTTAACAATATTATTTACATAAATGTGTGCATACGGCAATTAAAATATCTTTGAATAAAAATTTAATAATCATCCAAGTCTTTATGTTTTATTATAATTAATTAAATCTTTAAATATTTATTTTCACTAATTAAATCTTTATTAGATGAAAATTGATTGATTGTAAATACTTATTTTTATTTAATTGAGAATTCAATTGAAGTGAAAATGAATGTTTAAAAGTTTAATTAATCCAAAATAGAAAAGGTTAATTAATCCAAAATAAAAAAAAATTAATATTTCATTGATTATAATAAAATCTAGAAGATCAAATAATTATTAAATTTTTTAAAGATTTTTTATAATTAACTATATATATATATATGCACACATATACACATGCATGAATCTATTTTTCATCTTTTAAAAATTTTCAGGTTGTTTTTAATTTTCTTCTATACTTTGAATATTGAATTGGACTTTAAGAAGATGAGTATTCATTGAATCTTGGCCTTGTATAGTGCAAAAGCATTTTAATTGGGATATTTGACCACTTTGGTTGTTTGCCGGGAAAAAGAAGTAAAGTGCAAAGGCATTTATATTTGCAAAAGCTTTGTAAAGTACTTTTCCCAACAACCAAATAATAATTCAAAGGTTCAAAACATCAAGTGCTAGGAAGTTTCTTCCAAGAACTCCAATTTTTCAACTTGAATTTTCCACAAATAGCATTTATATGTATGTTTAAAATTGAACAAAGTGTAGAAAAAAGAACAAAAAAGGATAAGACAAGTCAACCAAGTCTTTGGAGTAAGTCCTACGGCCAACTAATTAAGACTCCTTACGTCTAAGAAGAGAAAAAAATTTTTTTAAAAGTTTAGAAAAAATAAAATTACATAAAATTTAAAGAAGTTAAGGAAGTATTTGGCTTCAAAAAATAGAGTTATTTTTATTTTTATTTTTTAAAAAAATAAAAAATATGAGTGAAAACGTTTTTGGTAATTGAAATTAAAAATAAATTTTTAAAAAACAAAAATGAATATAGATTGAAATATGAAAATAAAAAAATATATTTTTAATTATAAAAACAAGAGATGTATATTATTTTTTGTGTTTTACAAGTTATTATATTTGATATTTTTTAATATCATTAATTAATAAATACATACTATATTTATAATTTGGTGCAACACCAAAAACATAAAGTTAAAAGAAAAACATTTTCCACCACATCAAACTCTAGGAAATTTTCTCCAAGACCTCCAATTTTCCAACTTGAATTTTCTACGAAAGGCATTCATATGTATGTTTAAAATTCCACAAAGTGTAGAAAAAAGAACAAAAAAGGACAAATTTAGTCAATCAAATGTAGTAAGTCCCACGGCTACGTAATTAAGACTCTTTAAATCTTAGAAAAGAGAAAAAATTTAAAATTTTAAAATTACATAAAATTTAGAGAAGTTAAGACTCTTTTTGCATATTATTTTTTGCTCTATTTTTTTTTGTTAAATCAAATTTTGTTATATATGTTTGATTAAAATTAAGCAAATTGTTGAAAAAGAATATCAATTCAAACATAATTCATGGGCTTATATAAATATGAAATTATAGTACTTTATGTATGTGATCTATGAAAGGTAAAACTTTAATTTTGTAAATTTTCTCTTAGTTTACACAATTATTTTTTTTGTTAATTTTTAATATAAATTTAGTCACGGATTATTAGTATGACTTTCATTTAAATCTTAGACATATGAATGATAATGATAAATAAATTAAAAAATAATGATAAATTTACGAATATATACATTATAACAAAGCCAAAACAAAATTTTAAAATATCCCTGATGATATTATAAAAAAAAATACTCTTTTTTATCTTATCTTTATTTGTAGTATATATTATAATTTTTATTGATAATAAACATTTAAAGATCAAGATGGGTAAGTGAATTGAATTACTCATATAATGTCTTTACATGATAAATGTTTTAATTATATTGTCAATAAGTCATCTCAACAATGAAATTTTAATATTTTAATTTGAAATTTTTATTCAAATGCTAAATTAAAAGGATGGAATTTATGGAAAAAATTATTTTTTATTATGTAATCTAAAATCACATATATCCAAAAACGATTCAGCTTGTTGAAATAGTTAGGTAAATACCTCCTCCTCTAATAAAAGAAATTGATACTACAGTTGGAAATTTTTACAAAGAAATATATTGCATGTATATATCATGTTAACAATAGTATTTATATAAGTGTATGTATACGGGTTAACAAATCTTTGAATAAAAATTTAATAATCATCCAAGTCTCTATGTTTTATTGTAATTAATTAAATCTCTAAACATTTATTTTCACTAATTAAATCTTTATTAGACAAAAAATTGATTGACTGTAAATACTTATTTCCATTTAATTGAGAGATCAATTGAAGTGAAAATAAATGTTTAAGAGTTCAATTAATCTGAAATAGAAAAGATTAATTAATTCTAAATAAAAATTTAACACTTCATTGATTATAATAAAATTTTGAAGATTAAATAATTATGAAATTTTTATTTAAGATTATTTTTATAATTTTAGCTACATATATATAAACATATATGCACACATATACGCATGCATGAGTCTTTTTTTCATCAGTGTTTTTTTGGATTTTTTTATAAATTTTTAGATAGTCTTTAATTTTCTTCTATACTTTGAATATTGAATTGGACTTTAAGAAGATGAGTATTCATTGAATCTTGAACTTGTAAAGTGCAAAAGCATTTTAATTGGGATATTTGACAACAGTGGTTGTTTGCCGGGAAAAAGAAGGAAAGTGGAATCTTTGGTGCTTTTCCCAACAACAAAACAATAATTCAAAGGTTCAACACATCAAGTGCTAGGAAGTTTCTTCCAAGAACCCCAATTTTTCAACTTGGAATTTTCCACAAATAGCATTTATATGTATGTTTAGAATTGAACAAAGCGTAGAAAAAAATAGAAAAACCAATCAACCAAGTCGATGGAGTAAGTCCCACGGCCAACTAAAGAGAGAAAATTGAAAAGTTTAGAAAAATTAAAATTACATAAAATTTAAAGAAATTAAGGTAGTATTTGGTTTTAAAAAACATAATTATTTTTATTTATATTTTTTGAAAAAAAATATGAGTGAAAATGTATTTAATAATTAAAAATAAAAATGAAAATGAGTTGAAATATGAAAATAAAAAAATATTTTTAATTGTGAAAATAAGGGATATTTTTTTTTGTATTTTATAAATTATTATATTCGATATTTTTTAATATCATTAATTAATAAATATATGTTATATTTTTAATTAGATGCAACACCGAATATATAAAG